TATATATAAATATAATATTTTTATTAAATTAATATTTTAAATTAAAAATATTAAATAATAATTTTATTAATATAATGTATATAAATAAGTAAATAATAAAAATATATTTTTATATATATTCGAATTGGATTGAGATGAAACCATTTAAAATGGCTTCGATCTAAATTTGATCTAAAAAAAATTTTGACGAAACCTTTAATTTAAAAATATTCATAAAATACGAATTATTTTATTATTTTTAATTAACGCATTCAATATTAAGCAAGATAGTCAACATACTTCTATTTCCCATCGACTGGTGGATGAAAATCTGAAAGTCCAACATCACTAGGGTTTTGCAAATTGAAGGTTCATTTGGATTGAATCACACCCACATTACAATGCGATGGCATAGCTTTTTGGTGCAATTACACCACAATTGACTGTTTGGATTTACACAACTGCATTGTAGTTGTGCTTATGTGACATCAGTTAGGTGAAAATTTTTCACTAGTAGAAAAAGTGACAGTGAGCCACCGCACCCACTTTCGACACTTTTGTCATCGTTAATATTTTTATTTCAATTTTATTAAGATTAAAATAATTATAAGTGAATTTAAAACTATCATTTTATTTCTATTCATATTATATTATTTATTTATACAGTTAAATAATTAATTTTTTAATATTAAATAAAATTAAAATATGTATTGAAATAAAATTTTAATTTATTTTTGTATTAATATATTTAATAATCATTTTTATTTTAATCTCATTACCACTATAATATTTATATTTAAAAATATATCTTATCGTTATAATAAATAATTTTAATATTATCATTATTTTTAATATTATTGGAATTAATTTTATCACTCACCTAAATAAACGTCCGAATGAAGGAGTTGGAAAAACAATCTGGTCGTGTTGGATCCCACGTGCAAAATTATTAACCGTTAATTGAATTTAGGAAGAATCTAATGGCAGAACAAGAAACCCTAATCTCCGTTTAAGGGTTTCTTTATATAGAAAGAACTCCATACAAGTTCTTTTATATTTCCACACACTCGTCACTAGGGCTGTAAACGAGCCGAGCCGAGCCGAGTAGTGAGAAGCTCGAGCTCGAGCTCGACTCACAACTCGGGGCTCGATACTCGGCTCGAGCTCGATCGAGTTTTATTTTTCAAGCTCGAGCTCGATTCGTGATCGAATTCGAGCTACTCGAGCTCGCTCGATTAAGCTCGATTAATATGTAAAAATAAGCTCGATTCGTATATTCGACAAGAGTTCGATTATTTATGCTCGAACTCGAACTCGAACTCGGACTCGAAATATTTTATTAATTAAAATAATAAAAATATATTTAAATATAAAAGCTCGATTAGGCTCGTGAGCTATTCGAGTCAGAGATAAGAATACTCGAATTCGGCTCGATCGATAAGTCGAGCTACTCGAGCTCGAGCTCGACTCGATAATAATCGAACCGAATTCGAGTTTTTTTCGAATCGAACCCGAGTAGCTTGCGAGTACTAATGTATCATTTACACCCCTACTCGTCACCCCTGCCGATTTATTAGCTCTTGAATTTTCAAGGTTCGATTTATTCTTTAAACATTCTTTTGAAATCATATATGATTATTCTTATTAATTTGTTTTAATCAATTTGTTTTAATCAATTATTAGATCTCCTTTGTTATGTGATTATTATTATGGTAATGATTTCTTGTTTAAACCTCGCTATTTGCAATTTTAAATTTCACGCGTTTCTTAGTATATCAATTTTCATTGATTGTTCAAATTTTTTAATAGGTTTTTGTTTTTAATTTAATCTGATTATTATTATATAATTTGAATATATTTTTGAATAAAATGGCTTTTATGTGAAATTTAATAAAATCTTAGGTTAATTTCGCGGTGTAAAGAAAAATGAAAAAAATTGAGGGTAATATTGGGCTGTTTAGAAATGCGAAGAGTATATCTAAATATAAATGTAGTTTAATCCTGTTTGTTCTTCGAAAACAGATGTAAAATATGTAGATTTACGAAACATAGGCCTGATGTGATTTGGTGATTTCATTTTTGAATTGATAAGGCGACGGCGGTTCTTGTTGGATTTTTATGGTATATATTGATGAAACCTAATATGTTTGTGCTATGATTTGTTGGTTTGGTCAGTCTTAATTTAATTTCACTTTTACTATGATGCAGTTTTTTCTGCAAAAAACTAGCTATGGGTAAGGAGAAGGTTCACATTAACATTGTGGTCATTGGCCATGTTGACTCTGGAAAGTCGACCACAACTGGTCACTTGATCTACAAGCTTGGAGGCATTGACAAGCGTGTGATCGAGAGGTTTGAGAAGGAAGCTGCTGAGATGAACAAGAGATCTTTCAAGTACGCCTGGGTGCTTGATAAGTTGAAGGCTGAGCGTGAGCGTGGTATTACCATTGATATTGCCTTGTGGAAGTTCGAGACAACCAAGTACTACTGCACTGTTATTGATGCCCCTGGACATCGTGACTTTATCAAGAATATGATTACTGGTACCTCTCAGGCTGATTGTGCTGTCCTTATAATTGACTCCACCACTGGAGGTTTTGAAGCTGGTATTTCTAAGGATGGACAGACCCGTGAGCATGCTCTCCTTGCCTTCACTCTTGGTGTCAAGCAAATGATTTGCTGCTGCAACAAGGTAGAATCTTGCTTTTTATGCATCAAGTATGATAGCTCATTGGTTTCAGCATAGTTATTTCTTTATTGGTTTTGCTGCTAATTTTTGTATTAATTTCTGTACAGATGGATGCCACAACTCCCAAATACTCAAAGGCAAGGTATGATGAAATTGTGAAGGAAGTTTCTTCCTACTTGAAGAAGGTTGGTTACAACCCTGAAAAAATTCCATTCGTCCCCATCTCTGGTTTTGAGGGTGACAACATGATTGAGAGGTCCACCAATCTTGACTGGTACAAGGGTCCAACCCTCCTTGAAGCACTTGACCAGATCAATGAGCCTAAGAGACCCTCCGACAAGCCACTCCGTCTCCCACTTCAGGATGTCTACAAGATTGGAGGTATTGGAACTGTTCCAGTGGGTCGTGTTGAAACTGGTATCCTCAAGCCTGGTATGGTGGTTACGTTTGGTCCCTCTGGATTGACCACTGAAGTTAAGTCCGTTGAGATGCACCATGAGGCTCTTCAGGAGGCTCTTCCTGGTGACAATGTTGGCTTCAATGTTAAGAATGTTGCTGTCAAGGATCTCAAGCGAGGATATGTTGCCTCAAACTCCAAGGATGATCCCGCCAAGGAGGCAGCCAACTTCACTTCCCAAGTCATTATCATGAACCACCCAGGGCAGATTGGAAATGGTTATGCTCCTGTCCTTGATTGCCACACCTCTCACATTGCCGTCAAGTTTGCCGAGCTCCTGACCAAGATTGACAGGCGATCTGGTAAGGAGCTCGAGAAGGAGCCCAAGTTCTTGAAGAATGGTGATGCTGGTTTTGTTAAGATGATTCCCACCAAACCCATGGTTGTGGAAACCTTCTCTGAATACCCCCCACTTGGGCGATTTGCCGTGAGGGACATGAGACAGACTGTTGCTGTTGGTGTGATCAAGAGTGTGGAGAAGAAGGACCCATCTGGAGCCAAGGTGACCAAGTCTGCTGCGAAGAAGGGTGGCAAGTGACATTTGCTTTCCTCAGTTTTTGCTTGTGGGTTTTGCAATTTTATTCTCATAGTTGCGAGGATGCTTATGTTAAGCATCCAGATGCAAACCTGGGTGCTTGATAGACGGTGGCGAGATCTTTTATTCTTTTCTTTTGATGTTTTTTGAAGGGTTTTTGTATCTCATCCAGACACTACAAAATAGTTGTGTTAAGTTTTATTTGAGTTGAGACTAATTTATTATGTCATGGTTTTATCTGTTTATCATGTTTGCCTCTTGAGTTTTAGACTTTCGGTTACACCTATTTTAGATCGAAATCCGGATTCTAGAAATTTAGACAAAGTTGGAAATTGCTATAATTTAGGTAAGAGTAATACCTTTTTATGTTTCATTGATGTATATATTCTCAAGATATTCTTTTAGGAATTAAGCCGAATTTTATCATTATATTTATGTTTTAATATTGAAATTGTCATTGTTCTCATGAGATTTTAATTTTAAGTCTTTATGTGTGGGATTGATTATTTAGTTATATTTTTTAATTTATTGACTGATTATAATATAGTAATTAATTATAATTATAAGTTATCTTTTACTTATAATTTTAAAAAATATATATTGACTTTGTCATTGTACTCCTCCTTCAATGATATTGAAATCTGCCTTTGTATTTTCAATAAAAAGATCATTGAATTTTGTCACTTTAATTTCAGTTTTGTTAATTGTTGGATAAAAATTTAATTTCAGTTTTATTAACTGTTAGATAAAAATAACGGTAGATAATAAAATAAAAATTTTTTACAGAATATTATATTAAAACAAATGGCAAAATTTATTGATTTTTTATTTTTAGAAAAAAGTAATAAAATTAAAATTATGATAAAATTTTATATTCTTTTGCTTTATGTTTAAAAATTAATAAAATTAAAATATAATGATAAAATTCAGCATTAATTATTAAAGTGAATGGATTTGATTTTAAATTTTTTATATTAATGAATATTAATAACACTTTTGTTGGGAAAACCGCAGATATCTTTGAAATAAAAATAAAAAGAAAAATTTTAACTTATAACTCTTGTAAATAGAAATTAAATTTATTCCTATAATTTTTTACATGGCAACTGATGTGGTTTTAAATTACATCATAAAAAACTGTTTTATAAAATTAAAAAATATGACTATTTTAATGCTGGTTTTTTACTGTCCGAACCAGAGTGCTGCAATTGCTTTTTCCTTAAAAAAAAAATGAAGTCGATACTACTGTTAGATATTTTAAGTCCCGTTTCTTCATGGGTATCATGATCATCAAACAATGTTCTTAACAAATTTTGTAACGGTGAATTAAATGGATTTGGTTTGAATTGCAGTTAAAACGAAAGGACGTGGGAATTTACATTTTTTTTCTTTTGTCTCCTTTGGCCATACGTCATCGTTTTAATCTCCCCTTAGTTCTTAGTCCTTCCTGTCTCTCTTGGCTCACCGCAGTTTTTATAACTTTTCTTCAGATTTTCAGCTGCCTATCTTTTTCCTCAAAACAGCGTTTCGCCCTCAGAGTCTCACCAGCAAAACCAGTGAGCTATTGTTTCCAATCCGTTTTTTCAGTTTCAATTTATTTTGATTTCTGTTTTTTGTGCTAAAATTTAGGGGAAAAATATTTTTCCATGCAGTAGGATGAGAATTTAGGGTTTAGGCTAATTGTATTCCTTCATTTAGGTTGTTAGTAGATTGGAATCTCTTCTCTGTTTTTTTGCTTGATTAACTTAATATTTAATACTATTTGCGTAATTAGCGCTGGGTTTAATCTTGTCTGGAAATCTCGTCCCGTTTTTTGCTTAAATAATTTCTGCTTTATGTTGATTTAACAATTTCTTTATTTTTTTTACTTAATCAGTTTCATTTTTATGGCTTTAAGCTAATTTCTTTGACTTTTTGGCTTCATTAAGCTCCCTTTTTTGAATTTGATGCGATCAATTGCTTAGGAATATACTGGTAAATGTGATCAGATTAATTTACCACCAATGAGCAAACCGCTCCTTAGGTTTTCTATTTCCTTCTTTTTGTAAAACTTTTTCAGCTTCCAACAGATTCTTAGGTTTTACTAGGAAATTCTGTTCGAATTAGAATAATTAGAGATTAGTTTCTAAACTTCACTTTTCATGTATCTGTAATGGTTAACTTGTTGATATTGGAATGCAGAAGTTTGATTGTCTTCTTTTTTTTTTTTTTCTTTTTTCATTTTGTGACTGTTAATAGAAGGTTGTTCAGGAAACAATGATCTATACAGCTATTGACAACTTCTACTTAACGGATGAGCAGCTAAAGAACTCACCTTCAAGGAAAGATGGGATAGATGAAGCTACTGAAACTACACTAAGAATCTATGGCTGTGATCTCATCCAAGAAAGCGGAATATTACTTAAACTGTATCTATTTCTTTAATTCCGTATTTAATTGTAGTTTTATAAAAATAATTTTTTAGTTGATTTATGTTTCCTTAATTTTATACTTACAGGCCTCAAGCTGTCATGGCCACTGGCCAGGTTCTATTCCATCGTTTCTATTGCAAGAAGTCATTTGCCCGCTTTGATGTCAAGGTTAATCTCTTTTAATCTTTTCTTTGGTTGTTGATAAATTGTTAATTGGGAGGAAGAGAAGAATTAGTGTTCATTATCTATGATGTTGTTTTTTGGTTCAAAGGATTAGTTGTGTTGCACTTGAGCTGTAGTGGTGGGTGTTTCTGCATGATTTCACAGCCTAATTTCTTTAAGATTTTAGGAAATATGGTTTTTTTAATTTCTTTGTAGATAGTTGCGGCTAGCTCTTTGTGGCTTGCATCAAAACTAGAGGAAAGCCCTAGGAGGGCAAGGCAAGTAATTATAGTTTTCCACAGAATGGAATGTAGAAGAGAGAACTTACCGATAGAGCATTTAGACCTATATTCAAAGGTAAGATTGATAAGTTCATATATTTTAACAAATTCAGTATTCCTTTTCAAAGCAGGTTGCCTAGGCTTTATTCCTAGTGGCTGTTTATTACTTTCTGTTTGTTATTTGCAGAAATTTTCAGAGTTGAAAGCAGAATTGAGCAGAACAGAAAGACACATATTGAAGGAGATGGGTTTTGTTTGTCATGTTGAGCATCCCCATAAGTTCATATCAAACTATCTTGCTACCCTTGAAACACCTCCTGAGTTAAGGCAGGAAGCATGGAATCTAGCAAATGATAGGTATTTTTGCAACACAACCATCATATTTTTTCACAATGTTTTGTTCAGTCATGTAGTTATTTTACATAATTAATATTAGCTACTGTTCTCAGTGTTAATTCTTTACACTACGAGTTCATAAGTCAACCAAAAAGGCTCTGCTATTATGACTAGCTTATAATTGAGGTTAGATGGCAAGTTCAATTCCCAATTGGTAACTCAGTGGAGGTAGATACTGGATTTTTTTCTTAGAATTATGTTCTTATGATGGATAACAGTCCTTCAAACAAATCTAACAATTTCATCCAACAACAAATGGAACATTGATTTGAAAAATCTAACATTAAGCGTAATGTTTCTGAAGCAGAGATATTGATATGTAATTGAGGTTAGATGGCAAGTTCAATTCCCAATTGGTAACTCAGTGGAGGTAGATACTGGATTTTGTTCTTAGAATTATGTTCTTATGATGGATAACAGTCCTTCAAACAAATCTAACAATTTCATCCAACAACAAATGGAACATTGATTTGAAAAATCTAACATTAAGCGTAATGTTTCTGAAGCAGAGATATTGATATGTAATTAGAAATAAGAGAAATGACATGGCCAGAATGGAGAAATTGAGATATCTATTGGATTATGCATTAACTCTTTAGAAGAGGTTCAACATTTTCAAAACCCTAAAACAAATCAAGGGTTGATGACAAATCAAACGTAGGTTATAAGGTTTCCATTGAGATAATTTTGAAATCCAAGTGATTCTTTACTGACGAATATTATAATTTGTAGTTTTGTTCTAATTATTGTGGCTTCCAAAACATTCTTTCACTGAGACCAGCATTGGAAGTTTATACTTTTTGGCAATAATAGCTTCTATTCTGGTTTTCCTTCTTAGGAAAACTATGAGGGTCATTAGTCATGCTTGTACCCTGATATAATTGATTAACAGTACGTGAAGTTATATGTTTCTAAGAAGAACTGGAGAGGGGATGAGTGGAAGGAAGATAGCGTGAATAACAATGGTGGGAATGATAATATGTAAATGGAGTGGTGGTGAGACACAAGAACATTCTATTACACACGAATATAACATTATTTTGTAACTTGTTAGTAGAAAATGACATAGTTCTGGTCAAAGGAGCTAGAGCCTGTGCTTTCAAGGCTAAGTGTTTTAAAGCTGTTGTTCGGGCCCCTGGTGGTTTATGCCAGAACTGCAACTATTGACATAGAAATGGATATAGATGCTGTAGCTAAATTATAATTGCTTTGAAATTCTGGTTGCAGATAATCAATCTTATCTAATTTTTTTTTCTTGAACTATAATGCTTCTAAGTGTCTACATATAAATTTTTTCTCTGTGTGTTGGTAGTACTAATTCCATATTTCAATGACATTAACCTTGAGCTGCCTGCTAGTGTTTATAATAGGATTGTATGCATATGGGTGGAAGCTCTAGTGCATATAATTTTTAGTCTGTGCTATTCAATTTCCTGTTCATTGTGCCACTAGCGTATCATTATTCTTTCTTTTGGTGGAACTTACACACTTTTCTGTGTTTTATGTCCATCAACTCTCTGTGGAGTAGTTTACGTACAACCTTGTGCGTTCGATTCAAGAGTGAGGTTGTGGCTTGTGGGGTTGTATATGCTGCTGCTCGTAGGTTCCAAGTACCCCTTCCTGAGAACCCACCATGGTGGAAGGCTTTTGATGCAGAGAAATCTGGAATAGATGAGGTTTGTAGGGTTCTGGCTCATTTGTACAGCCTTCCCAAGGCACAATACAGTCCTGTCTGTAAGGATGGAAAGCCATTTACATTTTCCACCAAGTCTGCAGATTCACATTCTCAGCCAATTTCAAAGGTGAATCTGACTTTTAGTTTCTCACCTTTCTCCCATTGCTTTTAAGTCTCACTGGTAGGATGCGGTGCTAAAATATTCTTTCTGCAGTGTTTTTAATTTTTATTATATCTACTAGTGCATAATGATATTTAGGGTAGTTGAATCAAGGTGGAAGTGAAATTTTGTCACTGTTTTGCAGGAAGTTCCACTGAGCCCACCAGCTAATAATAATGCTAATGTTTCCAACACCACCGTAGCAGCAGCTGATCTGGAAACTGAGGGAGCTAAAGAAGCTAAGATTAAAATGGCTCTTGACAAGCTGAAAGAATCTAAGCAGAGTGATGATGAATCCAAGATCCTGCCTACGGAGGTTGATGCAAGAGAAGAGCCTAGGCATAAATCCAAGTCTGATCACAGGGCAGAATCAGGTGGGGAAAAGAGCAAGGACAGGGACAGGGAAAGGGAAAGGGAGAGGGACAGAGAAAGAGAAAGAGATAGGGAGAGAGCAAAGGCCCGGGATCGTGACAGGGGCAGAGATTCTGACAGGGAACGAGAGCGAGAAGAGACTGAAAGGGACAGAGATAAAGTCAAGGATCGAGGTCACCGTTCAAAGGATAAAACAAAGGATTCAGGTTGTTTCATATATTCTCTTTAGGGTATGGATTATATATCTGATTTTGAGTACTGTCTCACATATGATTTGTCTAACGACTGATTTTCTAGCAGGGGGACATTCTGAAAAATCAAGGCACCACTCATCACGCGGTATGTTTTTAGCTTTCCACAAACTTGAAATCACTGTAATTTGTTCATTATAGATCAGTGGTTTTTCATTATGTAAACCTCTTTTCTTTTCAGATCGTGATTATCGTGGCTCATCATATTCTTCAAGGGAGAAGGATCGTCATAGACATCACTCATATGCTTAGAACAAACTTCAAGGTGTATCCAACTTTGCTACCTTAAACTTGTAGCATGAGAATCATTTGCCAGGTTTGCCCAAAATGTTCAATGTGCAGAAATGAAAGCTGACAGAAGTTTATGTATTTTATTTGGAGTTGAATGCCTTTGGTCCAAATTTATTAGGCGAACAATGACTTTCAGATTTGCTTACACAACAGCTTCCGGGTTTTCTTGTTACCAATAATAGTTTGTCAGACCTTGAAGCAGTCTTGCTTACTAAGTTGCAAAACATTTGATATATATTGTTATTTTAAATGATGCAAGGCATAGAGGTTTATCATATGCCATGCTGTCATCGATCTTAGTTTGTATCTCAGGTTGTGGAGGTGCACACACAGTAAGCATCAAATTTTGTACGACATGAGTGATTCAGCACATCTAACAGGGTGTTGGTGGTGGCTTTGATATCCTACCAGGTGGACAGCTTGGTTGCTCATCCTGAAGGTCATAGCTTCTCCTTGACCTTATTCTTATTTTGTGCATCATCATCATCGATTGTGGGTGGCGATGCAACACTGAAACCTCCTTTCTAAACAGGAAAAAAATATAGTATTTCTTATCTTTGATTGAGTTTTTTTTGGCATGTGAGGAATCCTGTTGACTTAAAGAGAGAGAAAGCGACACCTCATAATACCGAAGAAGTGATATTTTTTTTGTTTTTATAGAGAGGATCATGCATTTTGTCTACCTTACTGTGTTTCTATAAAGCCAAGAATATTGTAACGTAATACATATTTATTTAGGGTAAAGTGTGTTCCAGAGCATTAAATCCCTTTTACAACCTAAAAATGATGAACATTTGAAGTCTGTATGGATGTTTTTAACTACAGATTTCAACTATTAAAATTTGAAGATTTTAATTTGAAATTTTCATATTCTAAATTTGGGAATAGCTGGAATCTATGAGATAATAAAGAAAAAGGTGATTAAATCTCTTACCAACATGATGTGTTGTAATTTTATCGAATACTTTGTACATGATATCTATATTTCCAACGGCATTAATCTCATTTAAGAAACAGATAAATAAAAAGAAAATTCAAGTATCTAAATAGGAATTTTTAAATTCTAGCCACCAAATTAAAAATATGATAATGTTTCAAGTACTGAAAGGGTAAGTCTGTCTTTTAAAAAAATTAAAAGATATTTTATTTGAAAATATCCCAACACGTGATGTTATAAATGTTATCATCGGAGCGCACGCACGTCTCGGAAATACTTTCCGACATAATTACATCGATCTTTGCGAACCTTCTTTTACACCTACACTGGAGGAGGGTAAGAAAACCGCTCCGTTTTACTACATCAGAGTGGATCACAAGCGCCAAGTGCGAGTGTTGGATAGGAGGATCACCTCGTTTAATATTCTGGGCGATACCGGGTAAGTAAAGTAAACTGCGGTGTGATCTGTTGTGAATTAAAATTCGGAAGAAGACATTTGTTTATTTATTCTAAAAGATTTTGTTCGTTTTTAGGCAATTATTTACATCTCTTGCCACTTGGCTGGCTGTAAAGAATATTTGAGGTATGATCTCACGTTTCTAAGCTCACTAAAAACTATAGGTGTCTTATCCGTAATATGGAATGTTGAGATGAAAAGCTTGAAATTTATGAAATATAAGAGATTTATTTTATATAATTTAAAAAATTACAGTCACCAAAAAGAACAAAGTCAAATAAAAAATTTATTTCAATTAGCTAGAATGAAACATATTAATTTTTTATAAAATGGTTATAGGTATTTTAAAATTTTATTTAAATTTAACTTTTTTCTTAAAATTATTTTAAACGTGCATCCTCTCGTTTTCACATGGTACATTCATTATTCATAATTTATCTATGAAATATTTTTCATAAAAATCAAATTCTTATAACTAAAGAATAAATTTTTTTCTTTATCAATTGAATTAACTTCTATTGGTATTAAATTTTACGTTATTTAGATTATACTATTTTTTTTAAGTTTTGAATTCAGATCCTTTAATCTACTAAACGAGTTTGTTGTAAAAAAAATTTTTTTTCTGGATAATTAAAAGAAAACTTTAGCTATCATCGTTTTTTAAAGAAATCAAACAAAAAGAAAAAAAAAAAAAAGGAGTGGTGATATTTGTAACAAGTGCTAATTGATGGTAGTTATTTATACAGTCAATCTAAACATTGAAAGATAATTTTTGCTTTTAAACTTGAAGCGTTGATAGATAAACTTTGAAAATGATGGGATGGTTGCTTATTTTTAAAGCCATTGCTTATTAGAAAAAAGACAATTGATCTTTTCACTTTTTGTATTTGCTCATTTGCTTCATTATTTCTTTTTATAAATCCATGACTCCGATTGAAAAAAGAAGCTGAAATTAAAGAGTATAAAGATTAGGTTATTATATTTTATAAAATATTGTTGTTATTTTTTATTAATTTATAATTTTAACATTGTTCTAACTCTTTCAATTCAATGTGATTATTTATTTTTCTTGCTTCAAATGTCAAAGACGGTACAAACATTTATTGCAATTCTTTTAAAAAATAATAAATACTTTATATTGGATTAGCAAATAGCATTAATAAAAAGTAATTAATTTCACTTAAAGAGAAAAAGAAAATCTAAATCACAAAGGTATTTTATGTAAAAAGAAAATTAATTCAATTTAAATAAAAAATTATAGATAATTGCGTGACACATTGTGAATGGAGAAGCGTTAATTTTAGCCATGTATAAACAAACAATATAATAAAATAATTCATTTTTATTAAAAATTATTATGTCTTATATGTTAGTAAAATTTTTAAAATTAACAAATAAAAATAAAAAATTATCATAATTTTTTTATTATATTATTTTTAAAATTTTTAAAAATATATTATTGAAAGATGTGTCAATCTTGTAAGATAATTTTTTTAAAATTAAAATTTTTATCCAATTTTCATCTCATCGTCAAAACAAGATATTTATTAAGATACAAGTACAAATAATACAAAGCAGCTCATGGTTGAAACTTTATATACACTAATTAAATTAAATCCAACTCTTGGTAGTGTTCAAGGAAAAAAACACCATGGCAGCGTTTCAAGGTACAAACTCGAAAAGTCTTTTACATTTTTTTACAAAAGTAAGAAAAAAAAAAAAAAGGAGGGAAAAATGGAAAGATGGCTTAAATGTACTTAGTTTGTTATTGCGGTTGCAGTTTATGTTTGTCGTTTGGTGTTTTTTAGTGTTCCGGACACTCATTATCTCCAATATTTCTGGGTGCCATGGTACATATCCTCTCAAAATGCTAACCATTTTTCTTAATTTTCATTTTTGCTCTCTTTGAAGCTTTCTTTGGCAAGATCCGCTCCTCATCTCTCTCTTGGATTTTTTTTTTCTGCATTTTGTTTTGGCAGAGAGAGAGAGAAGTTCCAATCTTTTAACAGAGATCTGGGAATTTCCCATGTAGAGGTATTGAAAGTTTCAGCTTTGTTGGGTATATTTTGTCTATGTTTTGTTTTTCTTTTTGGACACATTTATTGAGTTTCATCTTAAAAAACTGTTTAAATTTGGAAACTTTTGATCTGGGTTTTGAGTTTTTAATGAAGATCGCTCACTTTTGGAATCTGGGTAGGCTTTTATATGTATATAAATTCTTAATTTACTTAATTCTTACTCCTATTCGCTTATTGAGACGACAATCTCGAATAAGCAATCTTAGAAATCTATCCTTCATCTCATGTGAGCTAATGCTTAGTTGGTGAATCTGGTAGTTCTTCCTTTATTGTATTCAATCATTAAATGGTTTAATGTTTCAATCCTTTCCGATTTCAGTTCTTTTTTTTTTTTTTTCCAATTTCCCACTCTGAAATCCTTTGTTAATGTTTTTTGAGATAGATCTGTTTCCAAAAAGTTAAAAGGTTGAACAAAGCAGTTTCTATAAACAATATTGTTAAATTTGCATTATGCTAATATTTGGATTTCAATGCTTCTAAGAGTTTTTATTAATAAATTTTTTAACCTCTTAGTCTCATTGGGATTTGAAATTCCATGACTTGTCTTGGTTTTGAAGAAGAATTATTGACAGATGGGAAAGAAAGGAGGCTGGTTTTCTGTTGTGAAGAAAGTTTTGAGCCCTGAGTCCAAGAAAGATCAGGTTTGGATAATTTAGTTCATGAGTCATGGAATATATTTTTTTTTCTATAGAGATTTGTATTTTGTAAGTAAATTTTTGGTGCATTTATTTCACCAGGAAACTCCAAAATCAAAGAAAAAATGGTTTGGAAAAGGCCAGGACTTGGGGCCAGTTTATCTGCCTCAAGAAACTAAAGTGACTGCAGCTGCTGCTGCTGTTCCTCTTCCTCCTCCCACTGAAGATGTCAAATTAACAGAAGCTGGAAATGAACAAAGCAAACATGCCTACTCCGTGGCTCTTGCCACGGCTATGGCTGCTGAGGCCGCGGTTGCAGCTGCTCAGGCGGCTGCTGAAGTTGTTTGCCTCACTTCTGTACCACGCCACCCTGGAAAGTCAAAGGAGGAAATAGCTGCTATCAAGATTCAAACTGCATTTCGAGGATACTTGGTTTGGATGAATTATTCCTTTTGTTTATTTTTTGATGATAAGTTCTAATTGCTTCTTTTATACATGAGATGAAAATTTATGAAAGTATCAGAAAATTCAATGTCTGAAGTCTATTCATTGTTTAATTCAGTTTGCTTCCCATCTTATGTCGAGAAGAAGGTGTCCTCAGTGATTTGCCTTTTTTTGTGAATATATGTATGGACTTTAGCAAAATTTGTATTGTTGTTGTCGTTGCTTGAAGCCGGGCCCTTTTCATTCATAAGAAATTATGAGTTCTTACAAATCGATTGAATTTCAAATGCTTGTTAGACTTTGTAATAAAATTCAACACATTACATTTAGTTGTATGGGCCTTTCTTGAATAGATTCTTTCTTTTGGAAGAACTCGAATTCCAAACCTTCTCCTTTAGTTATTTCTTGCTATTATGTCAACTTTGAGTCATGATGACTTCGAAAGTTGTTCTGGTCATTTAAGGAAATAAAAAAGCATGATGATTTATAATCATAAATTCCATGAAACATCCCATTTATGAGCAATTAGTTGTATTTATGCAATGAGTTATTGCGATTGAGTTCTCAGGCTAGGAGGGCATTACGAGCTTTGAGAGGGTTGGGGAGGTTGAAATCATTGATCCAAAGGCAATCTGTCAAACGGCAAGCAACTACTACATTAAGGTGCATGCAGACTCTTGCACATGTGCAGTCCCAGATTCGTGCAAGGAGGATTAGAATGTCAGAAGAGAACCAGGCCCTTCAGCGGCAGCTTCAACAGAAACGTGAAAATGAGCTTGAGAAGTTGAGAACTTCTGTAAGTGCCTGGGTTTTGCAAATTTTACCTTTTTGACGGTTGATTTTATTGTGCGTTGACTTGAGTAGTGGCTTCGTAATACACTTCTGCATTGGTATAGATATTAAGCTAATGATTTCCTAAAAAATTCAGATCGAATTTATAAAAAAACATTTTAGGGCAGATTGCAGAAGCTTTTTTTTTTTGGGCCAGTGATTGCAGAAGCATTTTAGTTGCTACTTTTTTTTTTTAAATAAGAATATAATTATATAATTCCTACCCTTTTGGGATTTAAGCAGAATTCATATTAATGCTGTTAAATGTATGGATTGGTTGTTTAAACTCTTATTTGACAGATGGGAGAAGAATGGAATGATAGTACACAGTCTAAGGAGCAAATTGAAGCAAGACAACATAATAAGCAAGAAGCGGCCATGAGGAGGGAAAGAGCATTGGCCTATGCATTCTCTCAACAGGTATTGGGTTTTCCTAGAACTTTCTTTTTTTTTTTTTTTTTTTTTGCAAACATCTAGAATTATACTGTTGTCCTAACGGTGTATTGAATTTCTATGTTTTAGTGCTTGCAATGCTAATTTAGAATCATGATTCTAATTAATTACTAACTTAAATGATCTTTTTTTCCTTTTTGTAACAGCAATCGTGGAAGAACTCTTTGAAATCAGTGAATCCAACGTTTATGGATCCAAATAATCCTCACTGGGGTTGGAGTTGGTTAGAGCGATGGATGGCAGCCTGGCCATGGGAGATCCGAGGCACAACATATAACAATGACTGTGGCTCAGTTAAGAGTATGGGTGCCCGTTCCATGTCTATAGGTGAAATCAGCAGTGCTTATTCTCGAAGAGATCTTAACAATGATAATAAGCCATCTCCAACTCCCACAAAATCAAGTCGACCTCCCAACCATCGATCCCCTTCAACTCCACCCTCCAAGGCACCTTCAATTTCTTCAGTTTCCTGTAAAATAAGACTGCCAAGCCCAAAAGGGAGTCAATGGGGAGGTGATGAAGACTCAAGGAGCATGCTTAATATCCAGTCTGATCGATACAGGAGACATAGCATAGCAGGCTCATCAGTGAGAGATGATGAGAGCCTTGCAAGCTCTCCTGCTGTTCCAAGTTACATGGCTCCGATACAGTCAACAAAGGCCAGGTCCCGATTGCCAAGGCCATTGGGACTAGAGATAAATGGGACATCGGAGAGGGTATTGGCAGCAGGTTCTGCAAAGAAGCGGCTTTCATTCCCTGCATCTCCAGCTAGACATAGGAGACAATCTGGTCCTCCTAAGGTGGATATTACCCCGGTTAAGGATATTAAAATGCACAAAGAAGAGAAACCGAGCAATGAAGGAGGGCGGTAGTGCAGTGGAAACTAAGAACTTCAAGTTTAGATACGGATTGGAAACCAAAGGACAGCGAATAAAAGATGTCCTCATGATCTTCTTTAGCAACTGCTGTCTGGGAACAGCTGCAACAAAAAGAAGAGTGAATAAAATGGGGGGTGTTTCCACTTAATATATTCTAGTGCCTGTGATCATCTTTTACTTCTTCTCAACTGTCTATTTTCTTATGGTTGTTATTTAGGATTGGTTTTTGGGGTGCGATTAGTTTATGATTTGTTTGTTTGTTGTCTTGTTGACAAACACAAATAATTCTTTTTTTTTTTTTGTTTAATTTTAGTTTCAGTTCATGAAATTTTTTATGAGATCTCATCCAAAGTTCTTTTTCTGGATGGAATTCAGTTTCCTTTATTAGATTATGTGAAATCCTCCTTTTGTAAGAAAAAAAATGTGATTATCATTAGATTATGTATTGATTAAATCTTAAAAAAATTACTACTCTACTACTTATATATACTAATCTTTTCTCATTTGGGAAGAATTTAAAATTCACTCGTAAAAATATTTTAACTTCAACTACAAATAAAATTTTGGCGCCAACTTTACCTTTTTAAATTTACAAAAAAAAAGAAAAAAAAAGAAAATTTCACCGCTTAACATTTAATTTATAATAATTTATATTTAAGAAAATCATATCACTAAAAAAACATATTTGTTACGGCAACCGATGACGTGGCTGAAAATTGTTGTTCTTTTATCGGCAGCTTATGCTTGCCACTGAATGGCAGGTGCCTTTTGCCCCCAAAAGCATAGAAATTGTTGGTGCTTTTGTATCATGAAAGCAAGAGTTGTCTTTTGAAAGAGAATCAGGTTTCATCGGTGTAGACATGTCATTTTACCCAAAATTTTTTTTCGAAATTGAAAAAAGGTTTCAACGGAGCCTAGTTGAAAAAATCTATTTTTAACTTAATTTTTGGTTTAATTTTATTTTTATTTAAAAAAAATATAAAAAAATTTTAATAAAATCTTGTGAAAATGATGTTAAAAAATTTTTGTGATTTAATTCTAAAATCAATTATATTAAAATGATATTAAAAGACTTTTTTAATTTAATTAATTCACATTAAAATAATATTGAGAAATTTTTGAAATTTTATTTTAAAATTAATTCACACTAAAATGATGTTATTTAAAATTTTAATTTAAAAATTAATTTATATTAAATTAAATCAAATAAAATCATAAATTTAAAGAAATTTGATTTAGCATGAATTTTTTTACAGTATGTGATCAAAGCAAAGGGGTAGTTCACTTGTTCCCTACAGCTACAGCAACAGCAACAGCGGAGACCAATGGCCGCCGCATCCTCCCAAGCCATAACCGATTTCTTCCAACCAAACCCAGGCACACCCAAGCGTCAGAAATTCTCCACTTCTCCCGATCACCGGCACCAGCCACTTTCCTCTCTCACCACCCAGCAAAAATATCGGATGGAATCAAACAAATGCCTGGCCAAATCAAAACGCAACCTCAAAATATGTTCCCAAAAGGTATCATCCCAATCCAAGGTCGAAGGATCAGGATACGTCAAACTGGAGGAACTTTTGGTGGAGGAAACGTGGCTTAAAGCCTTACCCAGAGAGCTTCAGAAGCCTCATGCAACTAACTTGTACAAATTTGTTGAGAAGGAGATATCCAATGGTAGCGTCCCCAGATACCCACCCCAGCATTTGATTTTCAATGCCTTCAATTCTACTCCATTTCACAGGGTCAAAGCAGTTATTATCGGTCAGGACCCTTATCATGGACCTGGTCGAGCAATGGGGCTTTCATTTTCAGAGCCAGAGGGAACTAAGGCTCCCTCAAGTCTGGTGAATATATTCAAGGAACTTAAGCAAGATGTTGGGTGTTCAATTCCATCTCATGGAAATCTAGAGAAATGGGCTGTTCAGGGTGTTCTTTTGCTCAACACTGTTCTCACAGTTAGGAAGCAACAAGCTAATTCTCATGCAAAGAAAGGCTGGGAGCAATTTACTGATGCTATTATTAAGATTATCTCACAAAAGAAGGAAGGAGTTGTCTTCCTCTGGGGGAAATCAGCTCAAGAGAAATCCAGGTTCATTGATCAGACAAAGCACCACATTCTAAAGGCAGCACATCCCTCTGGTTTGTCTGCAAATAAAGGCTTCTTTGGTTGCAGAATTGAAAACTTTTCTAAGTTTAAGATAAATTTTTCGATTGAAATTTAAAGTTTTTGTTGAACTGAATGATCCGCGTGAAGATTCGTACTTTAAATCTGACCCGATCTTAAGTTTCTTTTTTTTCTTAGCTTTTGTTTTGATTATTTATTTATTATTATTATTATTATTTAATTATTATTTTACTCGTTACTTTAAGTTAAAAATTTTATTAGTTATTTTTTTTAAATATCTTTTTGAATTTTATTTAAAAATAATAACCAAAAATATTTTTAAAATAAATTCATAAATTTTACTAAATTTTTGCATAATTTTTCATGAATTTAAATTTTTTATAAATTCTATCAAACTATTAAAAAATCTCATAAATTAATTTTATAAAAAATATTACTAATAAAATATTTTATTTTGATCTTATCAAACTATCGAAAAATTTATATTTTAAATTAAATCTTATCAAACTATTAAAAGATTTAATATATTTTTTAAAAATAAATTTATAAAAAAATTTTATCAAATTATCGAGAGAATTACATCAAAATAAATTCTATAAACTATTGAAAGAATTTATTAATTATTTTTTGGATAAAATATTAATAAATTTGAAGATAAAATTTTTTCAGAGTGAAACACTAGTCTTCGTAAATATTTTTGAGATAAAAAAATTATCTTAAATTATTATCAAACTATTGGAATAATTTTAAAATTAATTTTTAATATTAAATATTTTGATAAATCATAAATATGATTAAGACTTAGATAATTTAAAATCAAACTAGTATTATTTTTATATGAATATTGTAAAAATGCTATAATCTTTTTCACGGATAATCGTATTATCTAATTTAAAATCTAATTTGATGGATTAAAATTTACTATTGAAAGATATCTAAATTAATTTTAAAATTTTTTTAAATAAAATAAATTTGATCAGATGATCAATAATATTTAAATAAAAAAATTAATAATAATTTTTAATAATAATTTTTAGCAATAAATTTGTAAATATATACTTATGACAATTAAAGTCTTATTTCTCTAGTTAATTTTTGTAACAAAATGCTTGAAAATTTGTTTGTGTCTTCATCTTCAAATGACTTCATTTATTATTTCTCGAGGGAAAGATGTTTGTGAATATTACAAAAGATGGTTCTGAAGCAGTTGACTATCCAGGCTGGAGTTTGGATCCTACACCAATTATTTTATGTACAACTACCTGGACTATGATCCACGTATTAATTTATATTGGATAACTACCTGGACTGTTATCCACGTATTAATGTAGCCTAATAATTAATTAATACTAATTCACTTTTAATAAAACGTTTGTAATCTCTTCCAATCTTCAAAAGCCATGTTCCAAATGAATAATAATTGAGTAGCCATTTGGCCAAACATTTTTTTATTTATTAAATATGATATTGCACAACATAATAAGCTCATAATTCAAATTTGAAACTTTCAAAATAAAATTTTAATTTCTAACAATCAGTTTGTCTCTTGGAAATTTGACCAAACCTTTTGGTTAAAGGAACTTGTTTACTTATTCTTCGTTTTGTTATCTTTATGATTAAATTATGATCATCATTATTATTGTAACTAAACTAATATAGACAGAATTCTTAATTTTGGTTGTATTTGATTAGCCTCTTTCATTTTGTAGGGTAGGAAAATAAAAAATTCTGCATCAATTCAATGTAAATATCATTAATACTACAAGTCATTTTCCAAGGGTAGAGAGCAGTTGAAAATTTGATTAAATTCCAAATTTGGGACAAATTGAAATTTTTAAAATGTTTGTTTGCCTAAATTCATCCTTACATTCATATCAGAGTACTGCCAAGCCTGAAAATTATTATTGGCAAAATTTGAAGGGGGTGGATTTGATAATTTATATATTTATGTCACATAAAAATATTGATAATTTATATATTTATATTGTGTTTTATATAAAAATTATATGTCATAATTCTTATTGACATAAAAATATAAAATTTAATTTTGTTAAATTTATTTATGATTTTTATTAAAATTTTAATTAATATTATTTTTGTATCTTTTTATTTTTATTATTTTTATATTATATTATTGTGTTATGTTTTATATTATCAAATCTAGAAATGAGATTACCCGTATCAAGATTGGACATAATATTATAAATTAAGCTAACTTATCATTAGAGACGAAATCAATTAATAATTAAAAAGAATCAAATATTGAATTGGATGATTAAATAAAATGGATATTAATTTTGATAAATTTAATTATTGATTGCGAATAATGTAAAAGATTTTTAAAAAAATTTGTAGCTCTCACTTGTCCCATTGGCTCCTCCCCTATTTATTATTCATACTTCAGTTTTTTTTAATCGATCTTCTAATTCTAATTTATAAGTTGTAGAGTCAAAATTTTAATTTTATTTGTTTTTTTAATAAAAAAACTCGTATTGTATATGACAATTTGAGTCTTAAAAATGAGAATTTTCAATTTGAGCCTTTAAAATGAGAGAAAAAAAATAGTATTAAAAGATCTTATTTTGAAAATAAAAATTTTCCCAAAAACAAAATAAGGGAGAGCTCAAATGGGTCAAATTAAGGAAGAGGTAAATAACGGACGTCATGGTGCTAAAAGTGACACGTGTCAAAATCCGATGCAAAAGAAAACTAGATGTCAAATTGTTATTTGTCGACCTATTTACAGCCACTAATCCAATTTATGGATCCAGCCATTTCGTTTGTTACCGTATTTTTGTCTCACACATATTTTTTTACTAAAAAAAATTAAAAATTAATTTTGTAGACTTTTTTATTGTTAATTTTTATTAGAAAATTTATTTCTTTATATATAAGTATATTATAAAATTAAATATTTTATGAAGATTTATATTTAATTAGCACAGATAAAACTCGTCATTATTGTATATATTTATATACATTTGTAAAGAAATTTAAAGAGAAAGAGACAATCAAACATATTTTGAATGGTTAAAATGAATAACTTTATTCTACGGTTTTTATTCTTTTTTTCTACAAATTGGCTTGTTCATGCTTGTTGGAACACAGATTGGATTGTTTCTCTAGGCTATTTAAAATTTGCACTAAATTTTTTATTAAAGAAAATATTTTATTTGTAAGCAATATAACAGTATTCAAACACAAAAGAATCTAATTGAGGGAAATGTTATTCATAAAAAAGAAACAAGTTGTATTTGTTATTTTTATATATTTCAAATATTTTATACAAAAATGTAAATAGTAGTAATAATTCTAGTGGTAATTGAATGTTAGTTTAAATAATATGTATGTTGGTCAAATTTTTAGGGATTAAGATTATGTTTGGTATATAAGATGATAGATAAAATAAAATAATAATTATTTATGTTATATTTAATTTGTATTTAAAAAATATAATAGAATTACAAGAATGATTAATCATCTTTTTTAAGATATGATGATTCAATTTTTCAAAATTAAAGAGAATTATTTTTAATTTATGAAATTAAATTTATATGTTTTATTATATCTTTAAAAATTATATCAATAATTTAAATTATATAAATTTTAAAAAATAATAATTTTAATTAATAAATAATTATCTTATCATAATTCATATATCAAATATAAAATAAAATAATATTATTTAATTAAATTTTATTCATAATATCATCTCATTTTATTATAATTTTATATATCAAATATATTTTAAGTGTTTAATAGAATTTAAGAACATAATATATTTCCTAAATGAATTAAATAAATAAAAATTGAGGGATTAAAAGTAAATTAAAAATTTAAAAAAATCAATGGACTGAATTGTAGTAACAGCATTTTTTTATTAAAAAGTGTAAACGTTCTTTTTTACCATCTAAAGCAAATAATAGAAATTACTCGATTGCTTCAATTTTCAGTTAAAAGATTTAATGAGCAAAAAGACACACAAGCAAAATACTGTCCCCACATTTTAATTACTTACAAAAAACGCTTACCAAAAGGATAAACATTGGATTTCCATAATATATTTTTTTCAATTTTAAATTAATTTATACTATCAAGAAATTTAGAGGCACAAGCTTCCTAATTAAGGTCCTACAAAGCCTTACATCAGCCTTTTATCCACTTTATTAATCCAAAAAAAAAAAAATAAATTTAATTGTTTTTTACTTAAATTGATAAAAATAAAAAAGCAACAAATAAACGTAGAAAAATAGAAAGAACAAAAGCCTATTCTTCATCTGCCTCTTCTTCGGTTTCTTCCTTTGCCATATCTCTCGCTCTCTTCAACAAGAAAAAAAAAAAAAAAAAGAGAAAAATGAAGAAAGAAACTGTCTGAGGAAGAGCTAAATTAGCATTTTTTAAAATCCGAATTTGGTCCCTCAATTTCCACTTTCCTTTTGGAAAACACCCCGTTATTTCATTTCCTTGTTTTGTCACTTCAACAGGAACTCAAAAGAACCCATTTAAAAGCTATAGTTTTTCTCCCTTTTTTTTTTTTTGGTAAAAATGGAATCTTTTTCCATAAAATAGATAAAAAAAACTAACACCCAACTGGCTATTTTGTCCCAACAGATAAGCTTGATTTGCTTTAAAAAGCAGCATCGGTTTCTTCAACAGATCCTCTTCCAAAGTAAAATCTCCCTTGAGTTCATATAGTGTAAGTTTATTGGCTAAAGATTTGGTTTTCCTTCTGGGGTTCTAGTTTTATTTGTAATTTTTATTTTGTGTTGAAATTGTGGTTCTATTTCGTGGGTTATTTTTGGTTGGTGTAAAGAATTAGTTGAATCTTCATTAAAGTGCAAATTCTTTGTTTATATTATAAGAAAGTGAGGATTTTTGGGTTTTCAGGGGAATGGAATCGATTTTCGATTCGATTTAGATATTAAAAGAAGCTCTTTTCACCCTTTGTGTTGGCTGAAGATTTGTTTTTTCATTTTTTTTTTTTTGGTGTGTTGAATATTGTACTTGTTGAATCTCGATAGAGAAGGAGAGAGAGTTTCGGGGAGTTTGTATTTAAGAGTGAGGAGTTTTTGAGGTGGTAGGAGTAATGGTGTCTAAAAATGATCCGATTGAATCGATTTCAAATTCGATTCAATTAATAAAAGAAGCATTTTTACCTCTTGAATTGGGTGTTAAGAAAGCTGCAAAAGATCTTGAAAGTTGTTGGGGGGTGTCAAATGATAAAGGAAATAATCTTGAATTGATTGCCCAATTGAATGGTAGTGATAGGGATAGTAAGGTTCAAATCTTTGGTATGAAGAAGTGTAATGGTAGTTTTGGTAGTGGTGTTGCTAATGGGCAGTATTCTGTTGGTGGTGAAGAGAGAAAGAAAGGGCTTTCTATTAAGGTTCCCATCAAGGCTTTTATAGGAATGTTTTCGCCGGCAAATGGGCAGAACAGTGAGAAGGTTGAGTTAGTTAGGAAAGGATTGAAACAAAAGGATGCGGATAGAGATGAAGGGTGTTGTATTAATTGCTTTCAGTTTGTAGTGACTTGGTCAGTGTTGGTTAACAGTTTTGTCCAGGCTATACCAAGCTCGTTTAAGTCAGGGAGGAAAAGAATTCAGAAAATGGGTGACAAAGATAAAGGGTGTCGAAATTCTTCTACTCATGACATGAAATCAAAGGCTCCATTTGAGTTTAAGTGTAGAAAGGCAAGGGCTCAGTTTATTGCAAAGAATGAGGGTATGGAGCATAATGATGGCAATCATGTATCATTTGAATGCTTTATAGGGTTTATATTTGATCAGTTGACTCAAAATCTTCAGAAGTTTGATAAACTTCTACAGGAAAGTAATCAGAAGCATTTTGATTGTCGACAGGCTCCATCTTCTCCTTCTCAGCTTGATCACTTTAAAGCAGTGACAAGTATTTGGGAAGGTCGAAAAGTTAATGTAAATGGGTTTTTGGGAAATTTGAAGTTTGCCAGAGTGGGAGGTGTTCCATCAGGTATAGTTGGAGTTGCTTCTTCAGTGAACGAAGAGGGTGGTGATGGTGTTAGTGCTGGCAGTAGGGAAGAAACAGGTAGTCACTCCCCACAGAAACTGGCCAGTGGGATACTTGGTATTCCTCTATCAAATGTGGAGCGTTTGAGATCCACCTTATCCGCTGTCTCACTGACGGAATTGATTGAGCTTCTACCACCTTTGGGCCGCTCTTCACAAGACCATCCTGACAAGAAGAAATTATTCTCTGTCCAGGATTTCTTCAGATATACAGAGTCTGAAGGTACAGATTCTCAGGCATCTAAGTGAACAATTGCTGTTGCATCATCTTTTTTTCTTGGTTTGGTTCCTTGAATAGCAGCACTAGTAAAGAAATGTATTATGCTGTAGACTATAAGTAGCATAATTCAAACCATAGTTTTGTTGAACTCTGTAGTGTGTTTATCTTCATGCTGAAAGTGTAGGAACTGGTTACTTTTGGATTCTGGTTTCGGATATCTCCTTTCCCTTAGTCCTAATTGAACTTGGAGATTTAGATTGTAACTTTTGAGTAGAGCATAAGTAAGCTGTTTTTGTGTTTGTGACGTGTCATTGATAATTTTTTTCTTCTACTCATTAATAGACATATCAAAGTTTATGCTAAATGGGTTCATATACTTCGAGTTTTCATGGCATTAATTTCAGTTTGGGTAATTTATCATGGTCTAAAGTGTTTTAACTTTATTTCAGTATACTACTCATGCTAGGTATCCACCAACATTTTCTCATGCATTATTCTTTCAGGGAGGAGGTTCTTTGAAGAACTGGATAGAGATGGTGATGGACAAGTAAATTTAGAAGATCTTGAAGTTGCTGTGAGAAAAAGAAAACTGCCACGGAGTTATGCTCGGGAATTCATGCGCCGCACTAGAAGTCATCTATTGTCAAAATCTTTCGGTTGGAAGCAGTTTTTGTCCTTGATGGAACAGAAGGAGCCAACTATTCTTCGAGCATATACTTCTCTCTGTTTAAGCAAGTCCGGGACCCTCCAAAAAAGTGAAATATTGGCATCTCTTAAAAATGCTGGACTTCCAGCAAATGAAGACAATGCTGTTGCTATGATGCGATTTTTGAATGCAGATTCTGAAGAATCTATTTCATATGGACACTTCCGCAATTTTATGCTTCTGTTGCCTTCTGATCGACTACTTCAAGATGATCCTCGGTAAGATTAATTTTTCCATTTGAAGAGTCTTATTTAGAAACTCTAGCTGAAGCACAAGGTCAAATTTAATTCACTATTGAATTATCTTTCGTTCAGGCTGCATTTTTAGAAGTTTAAACTTTAGATTTGGATCTTGGCTACAAATCACAGTATGTAGGTTCAGTTTGTGGAATTGTTTATTTACTGAAGTAATGCTCTGTGCTTCATGGTTTGGATACCTTGCAAAAAAATGCAATTGTTTCTAATTGATCAATGCATATATTTGCTATAAAGTTTTGGTGCTAGCTGATAAAGGTTATTACAGCTGCTGAATGCTAATAGTGCTTAGCCTCACCTCTCTTTTTCTATGGTGAACATATATATTTTGCTTAATCGTTCACTTTTACTTTTCTGGTGACTAATGTTGACAGTAACTTCTTTTTGTATGCATACAGGAATATCTGGTTTGAAGCTGCAACCGTCGTTGCTGTTGCACCACCTGTGGAAATACCAGCTGGAAGTGTTCTTAAATCTGCATTGGCAGGGGGTCTTTCATGTGCACTTTCCACATCTTTAATGCACCCAGTTGATACTATAAAGGCACTTTCTTCAGCTTAATGCTGTTTTTACATAATAAAATCTGCATGTTTGTGAACATCAGCAGAATCCATAGTCCTCATATCTTTTGTGAGGACATATCTGCAGTTTGCGCTGTTAGTTTTTACTTATCAGTTGGGTATGGAGAGCTTATGTGTGTGACACTTTCATAGCCAACAACATTCTTTCACATTTGGTGCAAAACAGTTTCTTTGTGAAATTTATGATTTATTGGGTTCTATCACAGTTGGCTTTTATTGAAAATTTTGGTTACTTGCTTTTCTTCATGCTAAACTGCCAATGTTGTTAGAAACCTTCATTTCAGTTATATATATATATATATATATATATATATATATATAGCTGAGTTTTTTTCTTTTTCTTAGATAAATATAGTTGAGGCTTTGGCCTAATTGTGCAAGTTATGGAGCATTTTCAACTTATTGCATGACTGGTTATATTCATCTTCTTGTCCCTGCTTATCTGTGTTGTGTTATTTACTTTAATATTTGTCTTTAGATTTGTTTGTTTCCTTCACTTGGTAGTGGCGCTTTTTTGGTAATTCAAAATTCCCCTTCGGACTCTTCACTAGTCCTTGTTCACATTCAAAAAGAATAAATAAGGAAATGCTTCTTTTTTGTTATTCTCCTCTCAACACTAAAAATTTAAAGCACTTAAGTTCAAAAAGGGAGTCAAAGGAGTGTTTGTGCTTAAAGATGCATGTACTCTTGCAGGCTTTCTTGCTGAAACTGCTCATTTTTCTGTTCATCTTGGGGGATACCCTTCTCTTTTTTGGAATACATCTTGTGACAATCAATAGGGCTTTTTCTTGATCACTTTTATTTTCTTCTGTTTCCTTTTTTTTTTTTTTTATGTTTTATCAGACTCGGGTGCAAGCATCAACCCTGACCTTCCCAGAAATTATTTCAAAGCTTCCACAAATTGGTGTACGGGGGTTATATAGGGGTTCAATCCCTGCAATTCTTGGACAATTTTCAAGGTTTTATAAATTTTTTGTTGTTTATCAAATTTTTTTTTTTTTTTTCTGATTTTGATTTTGCTTTGTCAATGATTTGTCTGATTGGTTTTCTTTTAAAAATGCAGCCATGGCCTGCGAACAGGAATATTTGAAGCAAGTAAGCTTGTACTGATCAACGTTGCTCCAAACCTCCCTGACATCCAGGTACTTCTTGTTGCACTATTATTTGGTTGTGAATATGTGGTTGAGTTTCTCTTGTTTCTTTGTAACACAAAGCTTCAGCTTTCCTTAATTTTCCAATTCAAAGGAATGTCCTGCAGCACACAAGTTTCCTTCCAAGTGCCACTCGTGGCTATTTTTAATTCTGGCTTGTTTTTAAGATTCCCCTGATATCATGAATTTTGCTAGACTAGTCAGAAAAACTAAGAAAAAGGAAAAGTTCCGTATTGAAGCTGAAGTTTCTTCATTTTTGTATAAATGATGTTGGACAGGCTACCTTAAATATTTGACCGGGGTTCCTATAGTCATGCGTAGTGTTCATTCCTTGCACTCTTTATGTATGACCATAAAAAATAACCACACTTTATTGGAAAAACCAAACTTGAAAGAACTATTCTAGTACAAATTTCATAATTCAATATTATTTTGAAATTGAACATTCTAACTTCATGTTATTAGTTATCCATTTCTCAGATTGGTACGGTATCCTTTTGTCTGTTGATAGTGTTTTTATGTGCTCAAGAATTCTAAAACTTCACTCATTCATTGTATGTGAGTGCATCTGCATGTGCTTCTGTGGGATTCTGTCTCTCTCTGTGTGCCTGCAGAGGGAACTAGTCTTGCATACTTAATTTTCAAATTTTGGCAACTAATGATTCTAATCAAGTGTCTGTTGATATTTATTTGTTACACTGAGTTAAATTTGTATTTGCATGCAATGTAGGTTCAATCCATGGCATCCTTCTGCAGCACATTTTTGGGAACAGCAGTGAGGATTCCTTGTGAGGTACTAAAGCAGCGTTTGCAGGCTGGCCTTTTTGACAATGTTGGAGAAGCTCTTGTTGGTACTTGGCACCAGGATGGTCTGAAGGGTTTTTTCCGTGGGACCGGGGCCACTCTTTGTCGTGAGGTGCCATTCTATGTTGCTGGGATGGGCCTTTATGCTGAATCCAAGAAGGTATTGATATTTGGCTTGACATCGATTTCTCTAAAGTAATTTGCTGGTGTAGTCAAAGGCCTTGCTCAAGTTCCTTATAATTATAAAATTCTGTATAAAAACGAATACATGATTAATAAACTACAGATTTCTAGTAATGTTGGGCAAGGCTGTCTATTCTTGAAAATATTCCCAGAAAATTTGGTTACTTGATATGGTCTCTTCCTGTATCATATTTGGATTCTGTTGAAATTATCTTGATATTGTTTGCATCCTCAAAATGCATTTGATTGTTATGTATACCCTGAAATACTTATTCTAGAAGAAAAATATTTTCATCTTCTACTACTATTTCCTTCAACTTTAATCTTTATCGTTAATAAGAGTTATAATTTGGGTTCCGCATCCTGTTTTAGCTTGCCCAGCAACTTCTGAGACGGGAACTGGAACCTTGGGAAACGATTGCCGTTGGAGCTTTATCTGGAGGGTTAGCTGCTGTGGTCACTACACCTTTTGATGTCATGAAAACTAGAATGATGACTGCTCCAGGGGGCCGACCCATATCAATGTCAATGGTAGCCTTTTCTATACTCCGCCATGAGGGACCTCTCGGTCTGTTTAAAGGAGCAGTACCCCGGTTTTTCTGGATTGCTCCCTTAGGCGCCATGAACTTTGCCGGCTATGAGTTGGCAAGGAAGGCCATGGACAAAAATGAAGACGTGGCTTCCAGTCAACTCTCCCAAAAGAAATTGGCTAATTCTGGGTAGATACAAATCCTTCTATAGTAAGAACATAATCTACAAATGGCCTCTGGGTTTTTGTTAGTGGTCAAAGTAACTGAATGCTGTCGGAAATTTTGGTGCCTTTCCCCCATAACTATCAGCAGCAAGTTCTTAAAATTTAATTTGTCGACAACACCTTTTTACTAGAACATTGTAATTTCTTACAGTTTACACATTTTGTAACCCCAGGCTTCTTTTGAATCAATATTTGATCTGCCAGGGGAGTGGTGGGTCAGATATGCTGATCAGCTCTTGGGTTAAACTTGTATCTTGAATCCAGTTTTCGTTATTTCGTGTACATTCTTTGTGCTGTAATTGTTCTTTGCTTCAATTGTATACATAATAAAAGGGGTAGCTTCATAAATCTTTCTCCCAATGCAGGTAATAAAATTTCATAGTAAGACTGATTAAGCTACCCATCGTGCTGCAGATTGTCATTCGTGAATGATTTACAGGAATCTATGTTCTAGATATCAACCGGCATAGGAGAATTACAGCTTCTATGGTAGTTCCACTTTAAAAATCAGGACTTATTCATTAATTTTGTACATCCGAAATAGACTACTCAAGGAAACAGGCTAGGCAGATGAAAAAAATTTTTCATTAAAAACATGGATGATGAGAATGCCTACTTTACTTAAATGAAGCGTGTCTTATGATATCCACTTCGGATAAATCCGTTTTTCTACACAGAAAACTCGAATTATTATTGGAGCCCAATCACAAGTAAATTGCACATCAGATAAAGATAAGGAAAAAGAAAAGGAAAAATAATCTGAGACAGGTAAAAGAGAGTCAAGTATACTATTGATTCTCACCAACGCATCAAATTTTGGTTTGTATTGAGGAGTGCCTGTGTCAACAAACTTGGGGATCTCTACGCCTGCAAAGGAAGCATATGAAATGTGTAAAGATGGGGTAAAAAAAAAACTCAAAATGTAGACAAAAAGACAACAGGTGAAATGGCGAACTCCCCACAGCTCCACCCAAACCCCAAAACATGAATGAAAAACAACCACAGGTGCTAAAAGCTGCAGCCAAGTGAGAATCCAGTTAGACAAGTTACTATAATCAAGGCAAATAAATTACACTAATGGAGTTCTACATTGTAACCAACCAATATGCCAAGGAAACTGTGAAATGGCAGCAGCCTTATTTAGCATGGTTAATTGCTAGCAGGTGCTCAGTTAACACCTTATCATAAAAAATTTGAAAGTCATCAGGTTCAATAGTTGAGTGACATTTTTCTTTATCATAAAAAATAAATGTCCGAATTGAACTTCATTTTACATCAAACATCCAAGGTATAGGAGAAATGGAAGTCTCAGGTGTTCTGGAGGATCTGATTATCATAATACTATTATGAAAATAAAACATCTAAGACATGTACCTAAAACTGTTACAGCATTTTACAAGAGAATCACATTTACATACAGTATTAAGAACTTTTTGAGCAAATAATATAACAACCAATGAATACGAAGTTTTTATTGGAAATTAATTTCCATCTTAGCTTTTAGATCAAGTATGGAGCATTGGAACTAGTCTAAGAAAGATCAAAGATATCAGGAGTTGAAGAATGGTTGACAGAATTAACTTCCATCCTTTATTAATTTTCCTCCTAACCAAAGAAGAATGAAAAGGGAAAATAGTTGCAAGTCAATATGACTATATCATCATTTGACTAGGCAAATTGTCACCTCATATCAGGAAGCAGTGCTTAAAACAAATATGAGTGCAAAGCACAAATTGAGGAAGCTACAACCATGTGAGAGACATAAAACACGAGGCAAGTAGACAATTATGCTTTTAGGAGCCTACAACTGATCTAAGCATAACAAGGCAACTGAAAAATAGTACAGAATGTAAACCCAACCATGGCAACCATCAAATGAACTCACTATCATAAGCCTCTTTGTACATATCCACCACGCGAGAGCCGATTCCTTTTCTATGGTATTCCCAATCAATAGGTTCAGGTTCCTGCTCAACAGAATCAGATCATTACAAAGATAGGGCCCACAGTTATTAAAAAGTTAATACTAGTACCGAATGAACAATCACCCCTGATGACAAATAAAAGTCTTCAAAATGAAACTTCAATGAGACAAAACAAGACATGCAATTTGCTTTATTTTTCCTAGATTTTGCCTTCTAGCATCACATTTAATGCTCATTCCAAAAGTGATATGTCAAATAAGGTTGAAACTATAGAAATTATGAAACCTTCATTTTTTTAGTACAAAAAACTAGCTGATAAAGTATCTAAATACTTTTTTTTTGGTGGGTTCATCTGGCCATAGTCAATCTGAGATTAAGTCCTTTCAATATAGGCAAAATAAGAGATATCCTAAAACTAAATGTACAGGCAAATCCTAACCAAAAAAAAAAAAAAAATCAGAACAGATTTCTATTACTTCTATGGAAAATGCTTGAAAATCATTGATACCAAAATTGAACAAAATTAAAGGGAAACAGTAAAACGAAGAGCTTTAACAGCCGTAATAAGTGAATGAAGAATAAAGGTACTTAAAAACATAGAATTCTATTTTTCCCATACGAAAACAACTGAACTTGAATTCTTTTTCTTAAAATCTAATAAAACAATATAACCTTAAATAATTTTATTTTTTTATCATTTTTTGGGATAAATTAATTCACATAAATTTCTTTTTCAACTCAACTAAATTTAATAGTTTCATAAAAAAATGTAAAATTACAATAACCAGATTTCCATTTTCTGTCTTGCCTTTTCCTTCATTTATGAACAATATTCTCATCCCATTTTTGAACAATAATAAAAAAAGCTGAAAAAAAATCCAAAATTAAATCTTGAACAAATATTTCAAAAAAAAAAAATCACCATAAAAACCCAAAACACTAAAGATTTAATCAAAAGAGTAACCCAAAAAAATCTTAAAGAAAAAAAGATCTGAGATGAGAGAAAAGAGAAAAGCTCTACCCTGGCTGAATTTGGTCTGCAAAGTGGAGTTAACTTCATCGAAAGTGCGACGAAGAGTGGCAAACTCTTTGCGAGCCTCATCGGAGACCAAAAGCTTAGCCATCCCTTCCCAATCAATGTTCTTTGATGCTTTGAACGCCACATCCACTACTTTCTTTCCTGCTCCGCTCATTTTCTCGCACTTTCTCGCTTCCCAAACGCAAAATTTTCTGGTATTTTTCAACTTCTGATGACGAGGGCTGGCTTCTGCTTGTTAGGGAAATGATAGTCTTAAATGGGAATTGTGATTCTTCATTGTGGATAAATTTGGAAATTCAAATTTTTTTGGACCTGTTTTATCTAGTTCACTTGGGCTTAACTCAATTACCTCTGATCCAACTCATTAAGCACCAGGCTTTAGATCCAAAAAAATGGGTCGGTTCATGTCCAATTAAGTGTTTTGGACCGGGTTGATTAATTCATAAAACTTTTACGCCCAAGATTTTATATGATTTTTTCTTATTTAGTTGCAGATGAGTAATATTGGTCTTCTTGATTGGATTGGACTTAGGATCAATTTGAAGAGATGGTGAAATTTAATTTCGTTGAAATTAAAAATAGTGATGAAGGTAAAATCAATTATTGTAATGAAAAGATTAAAATTAGTAATGAAATATATATTTAGATGTAAAAATAATAATAATGGTGGGTGAATTGTAATGAAAAGGAAAAATTCTCATTAAAGATATTAGATAAAAATTATATGCAATGAAAATTTTAAATTATTTAATATTTACAAAATTATTAAATTATTAAAAATTATTAAATTATTTTGGTTTAATAATAATTTTGAAAATAAATAATTAAAATTTATTTTTTATTATTTTATAATTTTGAATAAAATTTAAATTAAAAATAAAAATAAAAATAAAAATAAAAGGTAAATTTAATTTGTAGAGACAAAAAAACAACTAAAAAAAAAAGAAAAAAAAAACACAACAAAAGCAAAAAAAAAGAAAATTGCATTGAGATTTGATTGGAGGAAAAATGAGCAGTGAGTAACCACATTGATGATTCGTTTGGATCTCAATCGATCAGTTGGCACAGAAATGGATGCCAACTGACTTTCCATTGGATGTCTGTCTAGTTGCATGTAAACGGGCCTTACACCCAATAATATGGTGAAACAAAGTGGAATGAAATGTGAGAAGACACCTAAAATTGTACCTTAAAGTTAATAAAGTTTACTCTTTATATCCATTTTGTTAGTGGAACATAATTTTTGGCAAGTAATTTACATCACTTATCCATAACTTTTGTACAATATTTCATTTACATCTACAATTCTTAAAACTGAAAATTTTCATTCATATAATCTTTGAAAAATGTTTCAAATTCATCCGCTCCATCAACCACCATTAAAATTTGACTAAGTTTATCACTTTAAAATAATTTATATGTCCATATGAATATCCACATGATAAAACAGATGAGCGCTTCTGATTTTTTGAGTTAAAATTTATGTCATATGAACATTTATATGGTATATTACGTTAAATTTTTAATAATGATTAACAAAATAAATGGATTTAAAATATTTTTAAAATGTTGATTAAAAAATTGAATTCTAAACCTCACAAATAAAAATAAAGTATTACACAAAAATCATGATCGATGAATGTCCAATGCATTTTACTATATTTTGGGCCTATAACTTTTTGTACTATAGATTGCATTGTCCATTACTTTAAACATAATCAATAACTTTTGACTAAATAAGTGAACACATTTTTTTGCTTGGAATGAGAGAGATTGTCCAAAGTTAACAAATATAATCGCAATTGAGTCAAGGAAAGAGGTGGATCGGATGAAGGTCTGTGGAAGATGCCTCGAAACTCAAGTGTTCAAATTGATGCACCGTGGTTGATCATGTTTTAATCCAAGTCAAGGGTCTCTCGTTCCATTACAAAGATGTATCTTCATATTCTCTCATGGAGTCATTTGCATTATTCTACATTTAATAGACTCAAAGCATATATATTCTAGTTTCACGATGGATAGTTCATACCTCAATGATTGTTTTCTGGTTTTCTTTTACTCTGTTAGAGTAAAAAGTACTATGACTCCAATAAGATTATGACTTCCCAAATCTTATTCTACTTTACCGACCTTGAGTCAATCCTATTATGGAGGCCAGTAAGTTCATATAATTTCGAGTTCTCGTTACCAACTACTTGGTCACAGTTATTATACTATATTAAGAAATTAATAAGCTCAAGTTTAATAGAACAATGATCGCAGGGTCATTTTCTACTACAATATTGTAAATTATGAATCATATATATAAAAGTTAATTTTTATATTTATTTAATGAACTAATAGTAAAATTTTCAAGCCAGTTAACGTTAATGGTTATATTATAACATGTAGATACTTATTTTGTCTGATCTCTATTAATCTAAAATTATTATTATTATTATTATTATTATTATTTGTTTGTTTCCTTTTCTTCTTAGCCGAAAATTCTTCGTGCATTAAATGCATATGTACCATAACCCATTTAAGGTCCAAAAATTTAGTCACTGATTGCCAGCTGCCAATTGCTCTGACACCTACCTAACTTGGTAGCATAAAATTCGGCCACCCAAAAAGTCTTATGGTGCTTTTGAAAAACAAAACTATAAGTTTGAAAATCTAGGATCTCAATTTTAGAAAATCTGAGATTTAAATTCTAGAAAACTCTATAAATAGAGCTTCTGCCTGTAAATTCAAGAAGAAAAAACCCTACAAAATGAAAAAACCCAAAAAACTAAAGAGCTTTCACTAAAAAAAAAAAGCTTTGCCAGATAAAAAAATATTCTATCAAAACCTAGGAATACCAAAATAAAAACTAAACACTAATAAAAAAAAACACAGCTTTTAGTAGCGGGGATCTCAGCACCAAAAACCCAAAAAAAATATTTTGGCTAGAACTCCAAAAGCTGATCTAGGAGATTTGAGATTGTTTTTCAAAATAAAAAGGCTAGATTGAGATAAAGGAGGTCAAGAGGAATTTTTAAGGGTTTTTTTGTCACTGACGACGATGGCTGGCAACTGACGATAACAAAGGCATGATGGCGACCTATCGATTTTTGGGTTTTAGGGTTTTAGGGTTTTTTGACAAGGCATTTATCTTTTAGAGAGAGAAAGCCTAGAAATAATTGAACTAAATTTTTTTTAACCTTTTATAATGTTGAAAAAAAAAAAAAAAACAAAAATGATGTCGTTTGGCTAGGAGATTCGTGCATCGACCTAAGCCCGACTTGAAGTCCACACAAATTGACCTGTTTTCTTTTCAACTTTTGATCGGTCTAATTGAATTGATCCAAGATCGCTCCAGACCACTTCAGACCAGGTTGGATCACTCGTCATTGACCATTATTGATTGTGAATTGACCACCGTTGACTAATGTTGACTCGTTGTTGATTGACAAAAAATTAGTATTTTTTATTTTATTTTTCTCTTTTTTATTATTTATTCCATTTTTCTATGTTGTGTTATTTTTAGTATTTTAATTTATAATTTAAGATATGTTAAAATAAATAGAATAATAAAAAACAAAATAATAAATATAAAATTTATAATAATGAATGAATAAAAATAAATAATGAAAAATTACTAAAATATGATAAAAAAATAAAATCACAAGTGGTGATTTTATTAAAAGTATTTACACAAAATTTTTTTTTAAAATATTCTAAAAATGTTAGAAATATTTTAGAATATCTTTTTAAACATAAAAAACATTATTAATAAAAATAAAATTACAAGTAGTGATTCTATTAAAAATATTCACACAAAGAAATTTTTTAAACTATTCTAAAAGTGTTAGAAATATTTTAGAAGTTTTTCAAACATAAAAAAAAAACCATTATTAATAAAAAAATGAAATCATAAGTGGTAAATTTGTTAAAAATATTTACACAAAGAAATTTTTTAAAATATTTTAAAAGTATTGGATATATTTGAGATTGTTTTTACTTCGAATAAGTAACAAGAATTAAATAAATGCAAAAAGAAAAATAACAATAATAATAAAATCACAAATGGTGACTCTTAAAAAATTATTTTTTCAAAATTTTGTCAAAAGTGTAAGATTTTTTAAAATCTTTTCAATAAAAATTAATAAAATATAAATACTTAAATTGTCAAGGTAAATAAAATTTTGCAAGAATAAAAATCATGAGTGGTGACCTTATCAAAATTTCTTAGGTAAGGTATTTTTCTCAAAATAGTCCGAAAGTATTAGAAATGTTTTGAGAATTTAACCACTAAAATTTTTTACCTAAATAATAAAATAAACAATAAATAAACGTTATAACATAAATTAAAATTTTCGTTGTTAATGAAATTAAGAGAAAATTACAAGTGGTGACTTTCCTCCAAATTTTTATTGTAAGTGTTTGTATAAGAGAATTTTAGTCTATTTCACTTTCAAAATATTAAAATAAATTCGACGACAGAGTTCTTCAATGAAATAAGTGATTTCTTTGAATACTTTTAAGATAAAAATTTTCTTAAGTTATACTGAAAGTGTCGAAAATAACTTAAAAAGTTTTTAGTATTCAAATAATAAAAAAATAAAAATGGTAAAATAATAAAAATCACGAGTGGTGACTTTATCAAAATTTTGCAAGAATAAAAATCACAAGTGGTGACTTTGTCAAAATTTCTTAGGTAAGGTATTTTTCTCAAAATAGTTCGAAAGTATTGGAAATGTTTTGAGAATTTAACCAATAAATTTTTTTTTTACCTCAATGATAAAATAAACAATAAATAAACATTATAAAATAAGTTAAAATTTTTGTTGATAATGAAATTAAGAGAAAATTACAAGTGGTGAATTTCCTCCAAATGTTTATCATGAGTGTTTGTATAAGAGAATTATAGCTTACTTCGTTTTCAAAATATTAAAATAAATCTAACAACATAGTTCTTCAATGAAATAAACGATTTCTTTGAATACTCTTAGTAGAAAATTTTCTTAAGTTATACTGAAAGTATAAAAAATAACTTAAAAATTTTTTAATATTCAAATAATAAAAAAATGGTAAAGTAATAAGTAAAAAACTATTCAAACAAGACCATTTTAGGTCATATAAGATTAATTGGTACTATTTTTGAACGAGCGTTATGAGGGTGCTATAACTTTCTCTTTATGTAATTGTGCTTCTAAATCCAACCTTAAATTTGTAGACTAAAAGATAGGATTGATGGCTAATCGCACTTCAACAAAAAAGATTAGTGACAACTCATGACTTTTCAT